CGTAAATAGTTCACCAACCTTCTCACGGATAGCATGTCCTGAATCACTATTCTGCTTTGATATTCTGTGCCACTCGAAAAGTAATCCAATATTAACGATAATGCCCACGATAGCGTAAACCATAGAAAACCCGACAGAAACACATCTAGTGACCTGCAATGCTCACACTTCAAATGCTTTATCGCTCACTACTTTTGGAGGTAAAAAGCATCAGTAATATTGCAATATTTCGGAGCAACATTGTTCCGTTATTCTGAATTTTTTGTTTGTTTCGCCTTTACAACCCTGCACATCGGATAACTTGCATGACAGATTTGTTTTGCGAAAACACGTTGATGTTGATTCATGGCACAGTAAGAGTATCACTATGAACAAAAGTCAACAATAGCATTCACTCTTCAAAATTCTCACATACTTCCTTTTCGTTGCTACGCCGATCGATAAGGCAATAACATTTCATAGAATTTGGTCAGAGATTCCGTGCAGCAAATGGCTGACTAAGCATGTATGGCGTGTTTAGGTACTTAGCATAAAAGTTCTTTGGTAACATAAAATGCTGAAAACAGTAAGGAAATGATATGCATCCATTTGGCAGAATGCTTCTGGGTGCTTTCCTCGCAGATTTAGGGATGCTAGGAGCTTAAGGATTCGGCGAGGTTGTTTTTGTTATAGTTGCATTCATAGACTTTTTTCTCTTGTAGCTGCTGCCCGAAGAACCGCGAAGAGGATATATAATAGCCGAGAGTAATATCAAGGCCGTGTGTTAAGGAAAGTTCTCTCGCACTGTTGCGGCCAGCTCCGGGAGCTGTTTCACAGTGGCTTTCGCATTACTTGTCTGCATATAGCAGAGCGAGTATGAAAGCGTGATACCCTGTTAATCTGACAACTCAAGTACTTGGAATTTGGCTTTTGGATAAGATGGTGAGTCCTAGCGGCGTGGTATTCATCAGGAGTACCGCGTGTTGTTGTCACAGTGGACTCATGACTCATCTCCGTGATCGAGTGGGGAAGTCCCGTCTATGCGGTAGCAGGAGAAGCCTTAAGCAGATGGTCAGAGGCGCTTCTCGTTTTTGGTCGGTCGGTGCTTGCAGTTTCCATCTAGGGCTTCATTCTACTGTCCGTTTTGAGGGTTTGGTTCGGATGACTAAGCAGGATGCGATCAGCATACGTCTATGTGTCTGCAACAAATCACCGGTAGTGCGTCGACGTGCAGTCCCAGTACATAGCACAGAAGTCTTCATCAAAAGTAGTGTTAAGGCCCACGGTGAGGTTGTCCTTCACAGCTCGTATTGATTTCGCCATTGCAACCGAACCACTTACTCAGTGCCTGATCATTTGAGGAGAGTGAACCGAATACAGCGCTATCTTCTCTACTGTTCTCCTTGGAAGGGCGTCCATTTGCGAATTTGTAAAGGTGGGTGCTACGGCAGCAAAGATGTTGCGAAATATTCAGAGTTCTCACAAAAATTTAGCGATAAATGTAGTTTGTTGCAAGACTTCTTTAACCCTTTCCGGACCGCGCACTTTTTGCGCTCACGGCCGCATGCTGCGCGGCAAGCATAAATATCATATATTTAATCTGTATTCCCACTAAAGCCATTATTTTGTCTCGTTTATGTCTTTGTCATGTCTCGAAGAATATATAAGATTAATTTGACAGAAAACTGTTTTGCAAAAAAAACGAAAACGATGGATCCATAAGAATCAGATACGACGAGCAGGATATTTATTTTTTTAAGTGTTTTCAAGCGAACTACAACTGTTTTCTTTGAGCCCAAAGTGGAAGTCCATTTACTCTTTGGTTATTTTAGAACCTAGATTAAACCTAAAGTCTAGGTTTTTTCATACATATGGCATGAGTCTGTTACATAGGTATGTAACAACATAAAATATTTTATCGAAAAACCAAACTCTTGGAAAAATCAGCTCTTGAAGTTCCTGACACACCATGTGTGTCAGGCGGTCCGGAAAGGGTTGCAACTTGATCTTTTCTACAGATAGCTCATAGTAGCGCTCCTGCTTGGTAAAGACACGTCCTAAGATCACCACAATGCGATTATTTCCTTGCGTGCAAAGAAGATATCAACAAAGGCGGAATGTATGGTGTACAGACGAAAGGATTCCAAAGAGGGTCATGGCGTTGTTACACCAGTCTAAACGAGTGCAAACTTTGCCGCGTAATGGCTCCAGTGACTGTTCATTCGTCCAGATTTGTCCTCAAATTAGCACTCCTACAAGGATTTAACTCACTTAAATTGGGCAGCAATCAAGAGCAGCTCACAATCACACGTCTTTAATGAGCTGAATGAGTTGATCACTTCACTCAGTACTTTCCGCATTTCGCCTGACCGGGAGAAAATGAAATATCAAAGTAGCTGTATGTAATAACACATTAAATGTTGGGTGTATTCGGAAGCTAATCTCAAGTCTGCTTTCCAAAACTGTTGATCGTTTTCTGAATGGAGTTTTGAAGCAAAATAGAACAGCAGTGACTCTCTAGGCTCACGGGCGAGAGGTCGTTGGATCGATCCCCTAGAGTGTTCTCCTTTCTGCCGCAAAGGCAAAAAGGAGAACACGTTAGTAGATCGATCAACGACGAAGATAGCTGGGGGAAGCTCTCGACAACGTTACTTTAAAGGAACGAATCGGGAATTGATGCATGATTTTGTTTGAGAGGCACGAGGCAGAGAGCGCTACGAGGAACATTAGTGCGGAGAAAAACCAAATGCCCACCACTAGGGAAACACGAATTTGGCTTATGACGGGCCACCGTTGGTTTGACAAAGAGGCACAACGAAGAGACAGAACGCACGCGAGATAGCACGTCGTGTGCAAGAGGATGCAGAGACCACGTATGCCGTGGTTGATAAATGGCAACACGGTAGCACAAGAATGCGACAGTGTCGTGCCCCCGACCCTTCGAGACCCCTCTTCCTCACTTTGGAAGGAATTGGCTCTTAAGACTCAATCCCGGCTTGTGGCTTGCTGGTTTGCGAGAATTCCCAACATGTGGGGTCCAAACGTGTTAGGAACGCCTCACAAACTCTTTGCGCGGTTAGCTGTGGGAACGCGTTGCTGGAGTGATGTTTTTGAAAAGTCTGCTGCCATCTTGCCGCCAAAAGAAAGAAGATGACTGGAAACTGCTCCTACGACCTCTCGCCCGTGAGCCCGGACCAATACCGCTTCTCTATTTTGCATCTGAACTACATTCAGAAAATCGATTAGCAGGAAAGCAGATTCGAGATATCCTCCCAAAATACATGCTACATTTTATGCCTCGCTGCATGTTTCCACTTAGACCCATCATTCCTTCCTAAAAAGTACAAATCAAGTTCTTTTACGATGGCCATGTCTCGTGAGGGCTCACGGTAGCCCCACGCCTAATCCGCTCACCGTTACAGAGTGTGCCAAAATTACTTTCTCGAATTATCACCCCTATGAGAACTGTAAAACAATCGATTCAGGGCCCGTTTTCTGGTAGAGACTCACATATAAAATGCTACATATTATTAAACCCGGCCTCACATCTCAAAGTGTCTCCTTCAAACCGAGCTTTGGCCTTGAGGTATAAGGTCGTTCACTGTGGAGCTTTGGTGCTCCAAAGTTTCTTCCTGAACTCAGTGCAGGTTTGTTATCTGGGCTGCGGCTGGGTGGTGTTGTTACGAGCAGGCGTTGCCCTCTAAAATGCTCAGCACGAAATATTCGGATGATGAAGTGAGTACTTTTGATTTATTGTAATCGTAATTCTTTTGAGATGAGGGCCGGTGTTTTCGTGTGCTGCGATTCAGTTCAAACTTAACTAGTTGCCTGCACCATGGCTGATACACTGGCGTCGTGGATACATTGAGGGATTTTTCGAAGTGAGGTGATAGCACAGCATCTTCCAATTTCACCACTGCTTTAGTTGGAATATCCTCTCTGATGAAAAGCTGTTGGGATACGACTTCATGGTTGATCGCACACCGAACCATGATTTTGTTGCCTCTTCGTAAAATCACGATTCTACTCGCTATAGTCAACTTACCGCTGTCCCTAGGCAACACTTCCTGTTATCATTGTTTTACGATATCGCGAAAATTGATTGTTAACCCGAAAGAAAACGTTAGGAGGCATGGGATGAGGCTTTTCGGCAGCAACTAATCAGAAGTGATAACTTTCCTCAGCGACATGACATCTCGAGGAATAGCTTTTTTCTTGCTTCTTGACTACGTTTGTTAGCAAACCATGTCTCGTAGCACCTTAACATTTTTCGTGGAAGTTGACGCAGGTGTCCATCATTCTCAGCGGTGCTTCACAGCATTGGAATCCCTTTATCATGTGATGATAATCTTCATAGCCTTGCCACGTACTAGCAGTATTTTGGATACTTACGGCTACTGCTGTTTCGATGCCCAAGCACCTCATTCTAAGTGATCGAGGCTCGAGGGAAATAAGGTTGGATTTAAGCCAATGCTATCAATCGCTATCGCTTGACAGATAAAGGATAAACTATCAAGCATTTGATCAATCTCTAAACTTTCCGAAGTGCGGCACACATTTTACTTCTATTTGCACAAAGCACAAGAGCACAAAAAGATAGGCTGCAGCTCATCTTTACACTTTTTGACAAAAGAAAAGAAATACACGAAAAAAGGTGAGTAATAAGATAAGTCACTGCTTGCTCACGCTTTCTGAGCTTAATAAATAGGCCATTGTAACGGTTTTTTCTGAAGTCATGCTCATCTGTGACTCCGTCAAGTTCCCAGTGTGGCGTTGCGCTTACCCGTACTCGAAAACGTTGCAGTGGTATAATTGAGGTGAGATTGAGGTGCTGCAAATTCTGGATCTTTAGGTGTGAGCCTCCTGCGACTTTTCTTCTGGGTGGAGAGGGGAACAAAAGAAAGAAATTCTGACTAGCAAGCCTTAGAAACTTGTAAAAAAATTTGTCCAAGATGTTATTTCATATTTTGCTGTTTTAGTGATGACACGTTTTTATCCGAAACGCTTGTGTAACCACTGACCAGATCGGCGTGTTTATCCACCCCCTTGTAAGTTGATATTCCTTGGGTATTCGTGGTGTAAACCATCTCTGCACCTGCAAGATGTATACAAGCGACAAAAGCCACACCGTACTGGACTACTATGAGGATAAACACATTTCTTCGGGACCATATCTGAAAACAGTTGATATGAAGTCTTGGACTTATTTTCGCTCAGGTTTTTGATAGACATCAGATAGGCATGGGCAAGAGATCTAACACTTCTCCTTGCCCGTTGATTACCGCTTCGCACGAGGCCAGCGACTAAAGTGAGACTCTCACACGTGCCTTTCACGATAGCAGGAATCATTCTATTAATCATCCTTTGTTTGCATCTGAGAAATAAAAGGTGGCCGCTTCAAATTGAATTGTGAAACGCTCTTCCGAAATGCATAACAAAGAGTGGCGGTAACAGTAGCAGCATGCAATCCGTTCTTGTTACCCGGCGTTAGTGGATGGGGCATGGCGAGGCCCTGATGGGCCGCTCTAGGCAGACCCTTCTATAAAACGCGCGTCGTCCAGCCCATTCAAAGAGCTCGGCTACCTCCATTTGGTACATTTTGCTTCCTCGAACTCCGTCTTTATGGTGGGAGCCTTTGATACACATGTACAGCTTCATATGATAGAACAAGCAAGCTCCAAACGTTGAGTTACCGTATCGTATCTCTGCATGAGGAAGACCGCAGAATATCGGTTGACTGCGATTAGCATATTCCCGATCATGTGAGCCGTGAACGCAGCACTACAAATCATTAAAGAGACCAAAACGATTTGCTTATACTCTGCACCAAGACTGAGCTCACGGTTCAGTCGAATGAAACCACATGAAAAGAGAGATGCCACATCAGCGATACCTGTAAAAATTACCTTCGATCATTTACTGAGAAAATGCTGAGAAATATTAACTCAATCCAGATGGGGGAAATACATAAAGTTCTATCGTTGGCATTTTATTTACGAAACTCCTCGTGAGTCGACGTCAGCAATCTGTTGCGACCCGTGAAACGACGTACAGGATTGGTTGAATTAAGGTATCTACGACGGCGCATGATCGAAATGAATTTTTTCAATTCTACCTTTCTCCTCCTAGATTCAAGGCGCTACAAGTAGCACCAATTCAACCATCAAAAAACATATAAACACAACAAACAAACATCTATAAACAGAGAATCAGCACTTTGGTT